TGGGATGGTGCAGTAGTCTTCCCCACTAGGCCAGAGTTTTCAGGACAAAATTTCATATGGTCTATAAAGTTTTTTGTAAACGGGCATGGATCAACCAGTTTTATTGAGATTCAATCTGTTTCTGGAGTTCCCCATGGTAGAAGACTTCATTAGTGCTGGAATAAAGAAACTGTCAATCTCATTAAATTAGCATCTGCATTCATAACTATAAATATCTGTGTATGAAAAACTCAACTTTAATATCCTGTATAATAAATATGCTTATTCTCTCTCAAGTTTCAGTCGGATTGGCATCTTGCACAGTCCTGACCAATTACACGGTATTCCTGTCAGCTTCATTACTGTCTTGCTATCTTCAGAGCCCCATGAGGCAACCCTGCTCCAGGATGTTCAGAGTCATCGTTCCCTTCCATTTCCAGTCAGATGTCAGTTACCATTACTTATGCTTCAGCATTGGGTTTAATGTTAATAAGTCCTTAGATTCTGAGACTCCTCTGGGGTCCCTCCACTGTCTTTGGAGTCTCAGTTTGTTGACATACACTCTGATTGATAGCTCCCAAGTAGTTTCACTGAAGCCTGTGAGAAGAGAGGCTCAGGTGTCTGCTGCCTGTAGGGCGACAACCATACAAGGTGGCTCAGGTCCCCTGGATAAGATTTCTGGGAGCAGAACATGACATTCTTGCCACCCTCAGGATCCAAGCCACTTTAAAAGAGTGCTGTACTTTACTCTGAGTGGCCAAATACCACTAGCACTACTCAAGTTCAAAATTATGCAACCCTGGCACTCCAAAGGTCATGTGCACAGATGTGTATGAACAGATGCGGTTTGTGTTTGAAGGTAAAAGCCCCAGACAGCACTTAGACTCCAAAGAGTGTCAGACCATTCTCAACTAAAGAATCTCTTTTTCTCCATGGGTATTAGCATGGAGTGCCAGAACTAAAGAATCTCCTTTTCTCTTATGTTAGGCAAGTATGCTTCCCCTCTGGAGGAGACTGTTTACAGAATTCAACAATTATGCATGGGAGCACGTGCTTGAGTGTATACACACACACACACACACACACACACACACACACACA